CCAATCAGGCTACTTCTCTGGGCCTCAGAGCTTGGGTACAAGGTGGGACGTACATACCTGGGCTTTGGAATCAGATCTGGGCTTGAGTCCCGGCTCATCTGTTTAACTCCATCTGCACCAACTGTAAAATCCTGCAAGAACACAGAACGGGGTGGTGCAGGAAGGTTGCGCGGCACTTTGATCAAGGGCACCGGACAGATTGACGATGACAAGATGCAGCAAACCTGCTCACCAACGGGCTATCTGGGTGTCTAAGGAGGTAGTCCCCTTCTCAGAGAGCAGCCCCAAGTCTCTACTGGGCCTGGGACCAATATGGGGGGCTGGGGAGAGGGAGTGGAAGCTCTGTGGGACAAGAGTGCACACAGGAGAAAAGTGTGCTAGTCTTAGGGTGAAGGCTGGTTGCAGGGGACTCAGGAAATCCATTGTTGGTGTCAGAAATCATCGGTCTTTCCAAGCCCCAGTTAAGGGGAGGGAGAAGGGGTGGGGAGAGAGCACAAGAGCAGAAGAGGGTGAGCACACAGCTCTGTAATGGAAACTTGGCGCCCAGCCTCCTCTTTCCTTCCTTAGTGCCTGTGCTGGAGTCTCAGGTCAAGAACGCCTTCTCCTCCCAGCAGGCACCCTGCAGTATGTCCCGGCCCACTGCTGACCCCTTTCTCAGAGCCAGAGTCACACATGCTGCCTCGCTGGTGACATGTGACATGTGAGCCTGCTGCCTCCCTCTTCACACCCCCACCCCCTCCCCGACTAATTAGGCCAACATGCAACTTCCAGGGCCTGGCAGATGAAGAGCCAAGAATGTGGTGGATGGGGGCCAAGTGTTTTTGTTGACATTGCTCAAGTGTAGCTTTGCACAGCAGCCTCTGCTGTAGTAGAGAAGTCTAAGGAAGCCGGGAGATGAGTGAGGGGAGCTCGGTGCAAACACCAAGTGTGGTCACCTCTCCAGAACCCCTTCACTTTTCCCACGGCATGCTCTCTGCTTCTCCCGAAATCCAAGAATATGACTTTCCTGGTCCTGATCAGTGGGACTGTTTAGTCTTTAGGAAATCCACACTGACCTGAAGGCTGTGCATTTGTGGATTTTAAAACTGTTTTCTTTGTGGTGCTTTTATGGGGTGATTCTCATGCCTCACTGCTCTTCCTAATCATTGCTGGGGAAATGGCCTTCTTGGCGATAGGTCCATATTCACCGTTACCCTGTTCGATGGTGCCGGCTGCCTTGTTAATCTGTCTGACTGCATCGGAATAATGGAACCAGATGGTTTCATCTTCTCCAGGGACCTACCAAGCCTTTGGGGTCGCCAGGCTTGGGCTCCATTCTTTTTCTGCCGCTGGCTTGCTGTGTCCCCTTGGGAGAATCTTCCAACCTCTCTGAGCTTCAGTTTCCTTAATTGCATATGGAACTAATACTAATAAAACTGGTGAGATGAAAGATGGTGAAGACTGCAAAGTCCATCCTATATAGTACACAATAAATGGAAGCCACACTAACTATGCAATTGGTGATAGTGATACAAATTGGCTCTGATGTTAGGCAAATCACTTCTTCTCTGACTGATTGACTCCAAAGGTAAATTGACCCCAGAACCAACCTTTCTGCCTCACCCGGACTTTGGCTAGGACAGATGAAATGGGATATAGTTTTGTCACACCTAGTTCTCAGTGAGAAGTAAGTGAATGCAATACTATCTTTCATCCTTTTTTTTTTTTTTTCTCCTATGCTGGTGTTTGCTTTAGTCTCCCAGTGGTCAGTGGTCAGACATATTTTTGTTGTGATAAAAGTTTGTAGGTTTTGGAATCCAGAGGTGCTGCCTTAATAGTCTCTAATTCCTGAAGATATTGAACCATTATGTAAAAAAATTCTCTCATTTTCTGCTACAATAGCTGGCTTTATTTTTACATCTCTTAATTGGTATCAGCTTTTCTCTCAGAATTACAGAACCATGGAAACTTGGCCTAAGAAAGGAGTTTGGAAGTCACTGGAAGGGACACTCTTGCTTCTTCGCAAATAACTTTGGAGTCTTCCTGAACGTTAGGCTTACAGTACCACAAAGCAATTTTCCGTGACCCGGATGGTGAGGTCCATAGTGTGACTTAGAGGCCATGCCATGGTGCTTTGCAGACATTACTTTGTCCTACTCTACAGGGCACACTGCACTGCCCGACGTTAGCACTTAAGTGGAGGGAATTAGTGTCCCTTGGAACAGCCTTCAACCAGTGTTGAAGTGGAGAAGTACCTAAACTCTGTTGTCCATTCGTACCTCAGATGTATGTCTGTACTGGCTGCGAGAACTTTCTACAGCAGCCAAGCTGTAGCTTACACATTTTGGCCCTCGCCTTAAAATGTACCCATCAATGACTGGCTCCTCCTCCCCTGCCCATTTCCCTATTCCTGGGATCACCCCCATATAAACCTCATCTCCAGAACAGCTTCTGTGGAAACCCAGGCTGAGACAAACTAGATACCTTTTCCTATATTTTTAGGTCATTTATGATAACAGTGGATAAAATTCACATTTTACCGCTGTGTATTGAATTTAAAGGCCACTGACCATTTTTGCTTCTTCAAGAACTTTTGAAAGCTTTTTCTCTGCTTGTCACTGTTCTTAAAGATGAGAAGTAACCAGTCAGGTTAACTAGGAATACGTGATGCCCGGCTTTGACCTTGAATTGTCTTCAGTATCATCCTCACAATTTTTGCTGGGCTGATATATGTGACCGCTTTGTAAGACTTTGTATTTCTGAGTCTGTAGTTACTATATAGTCTAGATAGACTCCACATACTACTTTTTCTTTAAAATAAAGAAAAAGACCAGGGGTTATCTTGGTCTATAACTTGATAATTTTACGCATGGGAGCAGGTTCCATTTGATTGAGGGGAACATAATGAGCTGCTGAGGTTATATAATCCTATTGGTTTAGGGGAGGTGATTGCAAATACTGTGATTTCCAGAAACTTCCATGAATTTTCACTTGTCCATCCATGAAGTGGGAATAAGGATTATTTTTTTTTACTTTATCACTGTCATATATATCTTTATTAAAGTACCGTTGTTTTACGTCCTTGCTAGTGTTTTCCAGTATACGCTGTCCCCCCTCAGGTGTGGTCACCATAGCTCTTCCACTGTCTGTAATGTTCTACAGCAGCCCACTGTGCTTTCCCTAAGTTGCATATCTTTGATCAGCTTTCAAAGGTTGGTTTTAGAGTTTGTCTGCCTCTTAATTTGACTTTTCTCTATTTCCATATAAATGACACCATCCAGTGGGAATAATTATTTTGACATGTAATTAGTGAGCAGCTACTCTGAGCCAGCAGTGACAAAGTAGAGGATGTCATGCATCTACTTTCTTTCCTGGGTGATGGTGTGAGGATCCAGCTTAACGAGGAACGTGGACTCTTTGGGAAACTGAATCACTATGGAAAGAGAGGACTGAATCTGATGACTTTCAGAATGGGTAGGAGGGCCTCCAGCTCCTCATCAGCCATTTCAGAGTGCTGCACTGATGTAAGTGGTGTGCTCTCTGACGTGGTGTGAAGGCTGCCGGGCCTACAAATTACCCCTGTGTCTTATATTTAGAACTATTTTCTGACCACAGAAAACTCTGGACACTCAAGAGGTAGCCATTACCTCAGGTCACCTCTTTCCTTAGTGCCAAGCCACTAGGAAGCGTCACCTTTCCTTGCTATTTCTACCTCCCAGTGACCTCCAAATGTCCAGCTCTGTCATTCCTTTGCCCATGTCTTTACATGATATGTCCGCAGAGTAGTCCATGCTATTGGCCACTCTTTGTTTTTGAAGTTCTCTTTTTGTTTACCTCCTGTGATGCCATTTTCCTGATCTTTTCCTTTTCTTGGTCCCGTACTGAATTCTTTTACTCTCTTCTCTGATGAAGTGTTGAGCTCCCCAAGATTACATTTCTTCCATTCCCTTTTTTTTTTTGTTCTCTTCCTTCCACAGCCAGAAGACCCCATCCATTTGTGTCTCTCATCCTTCCATAATCATCTCAGTTAGAGACTTCAGCTTTGTTACATGCTCATCCCCTGATGTGCTTGTTCCTTGTTCGTCATTTCTCTTTTAATCAAATCTTGCTATGTGTCATTCTCTGGCCTCTGCTATGAGGATGTTGAAATGGTGTCTTAGCTTGGCCAATCCCCAGGAACAGATCATTTGCAGGTGATTCAAGGGAATACTGTTCGGGTAGTAGAAGTTGCTAGTCTGGGGCCAGTCATGCCACGTTGGTGAACCTAAATGTGTCCATTTAATCCCAGTTCATATTCAGTGAGATTATATTGTGTGCTTGAACTCAGTCCTGATGGGAATTTGGGAATACACTGTGAAAATTGGTCAGAGATGGTAAACAGGACTTTTTCACCTAAAGATTTGGTTGTTAAATAGTTCTCAGTGTTTTATTGGGAGCAGAGAATTAAAAGTAGGGAAGGACAGCAGCAATAAAGTTTGTTTTACTAGGACTGTTATAGTATAGACAATTGGAGTTTAATCCAGTTTAAGATTTGAATCCAGTTTATAATGCATACCACATAGCTATCCCATTGGAGCTGTGATTTATTTTTACTTCACTTTCTACCAATCATTTACTCTGTTGATTGGGTCAGATCCAACAGAGGAAACCCTCATGCAGTTAAAAGCAAGATGAATGAAAGACAGTTGATCCTTGATCAGAAGTGGGGAGGGTGTTAGGTGTGCTGACCCCCTAACCCCATGCAGGTGAAAACCCTTGTATATACAGTCAGCCTCTGTCTCCGTCAGTGGATTCTGGATTGGTGGATTCAACCAAACCACTTCAGCAGTTGGTAGAATCTGTGAATATGAAACCTTAGATAGAAAAAATCTTTATATAAATGGACCTGCATAGTTCAAACCCCTGCTGTTCATGGTAGCTGTGCATTGTAAGGCCTGAGGGGTTGATTAGGGCACTGGAACCCAGCATGGGTAAAGAATAACCCAGCAGTTGGTGATGTGTAGTTCTTCTTTTCTTCCTAGACCTTAATTTCATGGACTTCGTAGGTGAAGACAGAAACTGGATAGTGGGGAGGAAGTTATTACAAGTGAACGACACTCTCACTTCAGAAGACGCAGGACTCCGGAGCAGCAAGAACTGCACTGAGCCAGGTAATGTCAATGCCTGTGCTTTGGGCAATGGGGACTGACTTCTGTGGTCACGGCTCAGGTAGAGTTTGATGCCATGTTTTTCTTTTGATTTTGAATGCACAGATACTTTAAGGGAATTTAGGGCAGGTACCTAAACAACTTAAAAGTGAGATTTCAGGAGACTGTTCAAATGTGTTTCTACCTCTGTATTTTTTTCCTAGAAAAGTACAGGAAAGGTAAGTCAAAGCCACTGAGGTTCCTGATTCTGCACTGGTATCGAGTGTGGACGCTGGTAGTGTCAAATGGGAAACACCAAAGCTGTGGTCAGCTTTACTTTGCTTTCTGAATCCTCTTGGATTGGTTTTTAATTGGGCGCCTGATTCTGTCACAAAGAAACAGAATTTGATATATAATGTTCATCTTCTTGGAAGAAGTGAGAATTCATTTGTTAGTTGTTATAGCTGATGTCTGTCATGCCTTTTCTCAAATGAGGCATTTTATTTCTACTACTACTGAACTCAAGGAAAACAAGCACAAAGGGAATCAAGGAGAATAGGAATTATTGGGGTCCAAATCACCAGACCTCAGAAATGGCAAGTGCTCTTTGGATAGATGAGGTCCCTACTGGTTGACACCAGCCATCAGCCAGACACTAAATATTTTAGACTTTGTAGACCATATGCTATATGTGTGGTATAGCTAAAGGAATTGTTTTTACAAATCTTTAAGTATCGTTCTTAGCTTACAGGCTGAACAGATCATGAGACAGGCTGGCTACACTTGGCCTCTGCTGACTTGTACTCAGCTTCTGGCCTTTCATTCTTGCTAGTGGGGAAATTGGGCCTCACATGGGTTCAGAAACCTGACATCTTGTTGATCCTACCGCCAAAGGCCTATCTCACCTTTGGTATCCTCCTGAAATGACACAAACAGACTACATTGTAGCCTAAAGAATATTATACTTTTGAGTTCAGAAGGTGTTTTGTGAAGGTGTATACTACTGTTTTGGGAAGGTGGGTACAATGCTTTGCCCCAGGGCCTCACCCCCCTCCCCCCCCCGGCCATGATGAGGATCCCAGCAGCACGGGGAAGAATTAAAAATAGGTGAGCATCTTCCTCTAGCTGAAAACACCCAATGGCCCTACATGATCTATATTCCTCCAAGTGGAAAATTCAAGGTTTGTTGTGACTGTTATTAAATGCTAATAGAAAACACTCTGAAAGGTTAATGAAGCACACGGGCAGCTATATGAGCTAGAAATGCAAGTGGTATGATCAGTTCAAGTGCCCCTCTGATAGCACAGAGCCACATGTTGCTCTGGAGGTGTATATTTACTGTGAACTGGTTTGAAAAGCAAGGCAGCAATGGTGCTGGTCATTGCCAACATCACTTTGCTGATATTTTTCAACATCTTTCTACAACTATAGGATGTAGGATGGAATCTGACCCGCTGCAGGGTGTGGGAGTTAGACCCCACACAGGGCTAGTGGTGACGGAGGCCTCTTTTCCTTGGTGCCAGGGCTCTTTTCCTTGGTGTACTGGGGTTACTGGGGCCATCTGTGTATGAGAGACATTGTTCTTTGCATCAGGAAATGCCTTTCTAAGAGTGACAGGTGTAGGAGAATAAAGCACATTAAAAGCCATCATTGCAAGAGAGGAAATGACAGGTGGCCAGGTTTTTAAAAAGAGCAGAAGCCCAGCATGTGATGGTGTTGGCAGAGAGGATACAGGGACAGAGAGGAACGACTCCAGGAGACAATGGGAGGAAGTACACAGAGCTGGTCCAAAAAGAATATGGAGCCAGGCAGGGTGTTCTTGATTTCCTCATCTGTGGATGCAGTGATTGGGCCTGATTTCTGGTGCCCTTGACTCTGAACCAAATTTTTTCAGGAAGACTATCCAGCCTGAAACAGAAAGGGTATTGTTCAAATCCTTATGCATCCAGGACCTGTTCAGGCCCTCCATCCTTCACAAGGTCTACTCTGACCACGGCTGGCTGTGGGAGGGACTCTGTTTTCTGAGTGGTTTTTCAGTGCTGCACAAAATGGACCTTCAGTGGTGACTTAAATTCAGCTTGATTCAGATTCAGTAAAATTAAAAATTCACCCGCTCTGTTGCACCAGACATCTGTCAGATATTCAATAGCTGCTAGTCACTAGAGCCTACTGCAAGGAGAAACCTAGATCACAGAATCCTTCCAGCATCACAGGAAGATTTACTGATCAGGCTAGTCTGGAACTTCCATTTGGTTTTTGATTTCTCTCCTGTCTTTCCAACTCAGTTGTAAACAACTCAAGGATACAGAGCAGATATGTAAACCCAAGAGCCCCATCTCTAACGTGGCTCTTGGGATCACACTTATCTGGGTTTCAATCTCAGCTTGGAAGCTTGGAAGCGGCAGGCTTTGGGCAAACTAGTCAGGTTTGCTAAGCCTCTGCTTTTCTGTGAAATTGAGATGCTTATTATGACCTTTCAAAACTACTGTGAGGCTTGGTAATGAAGTAATAGTGTGAGTAGCTCGTGCCTCCTGTGCAGTGCTCTGTAGTAGGAACTCAACAACATCCTGCCATCAGCTGGGGGCACCCAGTCCTCTTGTTGCCTGAGGGGCATCCATAGCCCCTCCTGACAGATTTGGTCATTTGATCCTTCCTCCAGGTGGCCCAGGTCAGAGCAGTCAGTCAACTGGGCAGCATGCTCATGTCCCACCTTCTAGCACAAACTTTGGCCCCACCACAAACTTTGCACCGTGCCTCTGAGGAATTCTGGTCAAAACATCATCAGCTACTCACCTGCTCCCCAGTTGTGCAGGCACTCTTTACAGAATGCCCTTGGAAATTTGCTTCTCAGTCTTAACTGAATAGATATTCTATGAAGAAAACTCAAGAGCTAGAGCAATCATACGGTCCTGATTTAGAAATAAATCTGAAAAGCATTCATCTCTGCTTCTGATTTCCTAGCAGGTTGAGAGGACTAAACTGGAGTGACCCAAGGTCCATTCACAAAGCATTGGCCAGTTTCCCTTAGGTCCCAATTGCCCTGCAGTCAATGAATATTACTTATACTTGTACTGGTTGAATGTAGTAGTGTCTGCTGTCAAAAGTCTTCAGTGTAGGACCCAGAGAGGAAGGTGGTTCTAGATGGGCTTTCTTCCTGTTTGTGGTGATGCCAGAAGAGCAGTGGTGTGTTATAAAGCTCGTGTGCCAGGATTACCTCTGCTCTAGGAGAGATGATTATACACAGCTAAATGTTGGGGTACCAGTATGTGCTGCAGCCATCTAAATAATGGCATCAAGGACATAGGGGAGTTAATGTGAGTATTGTCATAAAGCATAACTAGTGCTGCTTATGATGTAACAAGGCTTTTCAGAGTATGTTCTTGGAATCTCTGCCTTTAATGCCATTAGACTAAAGTACAGTCAGAGATGCAGATGAACAGATCTCCATTCTGGCTGTATTCATGGGCAGGGTTGGTTTGCTTCATAGATCGCCTGTTCCTTACCTATCAAATAGACTCTGCAACTGATCGACCCCTTGTATCTCTTCTATCACACAAATCTAATGCCAAAACATTTTAAGACTTGAGATTTGTAAGACTTTCCACCTCAAGACACATCCTCTCCAGTTCCCTGAATAACTACTTTGCATTTGAAAAATTGCATATCATACTTACACCCTCCTTCTCTTTCCTCTGTTCTTCTTCTCCTTCTCCCTGTCTCCCTTTTGCTCTCCTCCACCTCTAACCTGCCCCTCTCTCTGAAACCAGAAGCCTAGAATAGCACCCAGGGAAACTCTAGGTTCCAGTATACCACTATAGAGTGACAGTACTCTCGGTTGGTGTGAAATATCCGCAATGCCTGTTCTTCATGTGATAGTTACCACTTTAGAGACATGTTACTGTGCATATCTTGGATTTAAAAAAATAATGATAGCCTCCTCTGCCTCTCAGAGACATGGTTTTGGTGGAAATTTGTGACTTTACTTCCAGAACTGCATGAAAATGACTGACCTCCAGGCTCCAATTTTTCTGCAATTATTCCAGCCCTCTGTGAATTTTAAGGTTGTTTTCTTAGCCCGACACTGCCGATTTCATCTGGAGTCTGGAAACATATTGTTTTTTTGGCAAGTAACACTTGAAATTGTTTACTCAGATGACCTCTTAAGAGAAATTTAACTTTGAATAAATTTGATCCACAGAAAATTAAGTTAGCTAAATGTAATATTGAGGGTGGTGGACAACTGTAGCAGAAATGAATTCTTCATAATATTTATTTGTGCACTTTGCAGAATTTTATTTATATACTTTGCAGTCTGTCTACAGAAAATTTATCATCTTTTGGTTTTTCATTCTTTGGTATTCTAAGGAAATGAGCCTTTTCTCAGAGTGCCTCTTTCAATATACTCTGGAAGCGGGAAGCTTTTTAAAATGATGGCCTTGGCATGGGCTTCACTCTGAGCTGCTGAATTTTTCTTCAGATAAAGGTCTTAGCTCCCTCTCTGCCTGGCTTCATGGGATCTAAGGTCTCTGGAAGGAGACACATGCAGGACTGCAGAGAGGCTGGCAGGCCCTGGCTCTACGGGGGTGTGCTAGGGGCGTTTCATGGGTTGGGGCCTACTCGCATGTCTGCAAAGCACAGAATTTAAGGGCGGAATGTGGATTGTGACAGGGAAAGGAAGCCAAAGGTCTGTGTAAAAGAAATGATATGGGGAAGGTCTTAAGGGTCAAGGTTTCCTCATGAACAAGACCTGGAGGCACAATTGGCCAGCAGACTAGGCCAGGGGACAGGTCACGGGCAGAGTAGGTGTTGGAATCCTACTGTTTTTGAGCTTTAACCATAAAATCAGGGTTGGCTAGTTTAATCACAGGGCTGGGCATGACCAATCTACAAAACATGAAAGGTTCAAGTCTCTCATCTTTTACATAAACCAAAACAAAACAAAATTTAGAAAAAACAAGATTCAGAGTGATTAAATGACCTGCCCAAAGTCATAGGACTTGCCAGAAGCCAAATAGGGCTGCTCA